CCATAGTCACTATTAACAACCACTCAGTATTTTTCTAAGCTTTAGGAGAGACCTGAACGATCTGAACTGCCGGTGAACTCTTCTACAAAATAATCATGTCTCATTAACTGTTTTACTGGACTGATTTTATTTCCAAGTGCACATGTATTATCTCTCTCTACTAGGGATATACGATAGTTACTGGGGCTGAGGACAATTTCAGAATTCAAATGTACAATTGACGAAACGTTTGTGCAGTTAAAACAGGATTCGTACAGCTTTAGAAGAGTAAACTTCACGCACTCTCAAGGTACCGAAACAAAATATTCATCACATCTAAGTTTAAAAGCTGCTCATATTATCTCTGATTATATGTTTTGATCATGATTATTTAATGCTTTCTAATTTGTGTCAACACGATCATTTCATGTCAGATATTTAGAGATTCTAGAGTCTTAAAACAAAACAGCAAAATTAAGTATTTTTTAAAGACTTTTTATGAACCCTGTTAAATAAAAACAGAAAGGATTCATCCTCTGAGAAGAGTGAATGTGCCCGGTAGAGATCATGGCTATCTATCGTTTTAGATGTTGTTGTGTGAGAGAAACAAACATCCTCACCACTTCCTGCACGAGGCTGATGAGCTCCATGAGGCGGCGGCGGAGCTTGGCCACCTCCTCCTTCACTTTGGTCACATGCTGCTCGTAGATCTCCACCAGAGGCTTGAAGGTGTGGCCGCCGTGCTGGACACAAGAAACACAAAACACCAATCACTGTCTGGTTCGAGTTTCTCCAACGTGTGTGTGATTAAGATTTAATATTTAAAAGACATCGCCTTGACCTTTTTTACTCTTTTATAGACCGAAGCATTCATAGATTAATTAGAAAGATATGAATCAGCAACGATGAGAAGTTGCAGCCAGACTTGGAAAACAGTTAACTGGAAGAGATTATTATGTGTGTTTGTAACTTTAGATGCAAACTGATCTAAAAAGCTAAGATGTGACACGTTACCATGCCTCCCCACAGAGCACACTGGTGACAGATGCATTTCTTACAGGTCCAACAGAAAACACTCAGCTTCTCGTGGTGGTTCTCACATCTGCAAAGGAACGACACAACGACAGCGCAGAGAGAGCTTTAATGGAAACTTCCTTTAAACTCGTCATCCCTCAGACTGTTGGCCTGTTTTACTTCAGTGATTCTACAAAGTTTACGGAAACTCACAGAGTTTATAAATGCAGGAGACAGAGGATGACAAGAATGAATACGGAGAAGGAGACGCAGGAGGAAGAGGGTCAGTGTTCTCCGCAGCGAACAGATTTTAGTTTTAAAATGAGAAACCCAAAATGGGGACAAGAGCTGTTGCAGTTTAGTTTAGTTTAGTTTCCTATATTTATAAACGGTAGTCGATTCCCGATTTTGGTTCTCTCATTTTAATACAAAAATCTGTGGGCTGCAAAGTGCACTGACGAAGAGGAACAACTGGAATGTGTTGGAGGAGAAGCAGCAGGGATCAACTAGTATTGAAATCACAGTATTTCCAAATGAGAGAAAGCAGGAGCAGGAGGAGGAGGAGG